TAAGGGATATCCAAACTGTATACAATGTTGTGTCCTGGACTGTGGAAAAAGAGAAAGACAATGACGATGATATGCCCAATCTGCCATCCTTTGTGAATGGGATTTAAAATTGCTTACTCAGAAAAGCCCTACAATTTTCTTTCCATGAACCTACAAGTGGGCCCCTGAAAAAGATAGAAAGTTATGGATAGATACTGCAGCCACGCTCATTTAAGATATGTGTGGCGATGTATAGCCCCCCCTCTCTGTGGTAGCCCCCCGACTCTGGAACTCTCTCCCCAAGGACATCAGACAAGCCCCAACATTGGCAGTCTTTAGGAAGAGCTTGAAGACCTGGCTGTTCCAGTGTGCCTTTCCAGAAAAGGAAACTCCTAGCATCATGTCCCAAACACACTTTACCAGAGATTTAAGATTGCCTGCACATCACACTTACCCTAAAATCCTTACATTTCACCTGTCATGTCCAGCACTTTTAATTTATTCATTACATTTGGCCCGGCCCTAGTTTTAAATGTGTCATGATCTATTGTTTTGATGTTTTACTGTTTTGCTTTAATGTTTATTGGTTTGCTTTATGAGTTTTATTGTTGTATTTGTTATGCTGTTGTTTTATTGAGGGCCTTGGCCTTTGTAAGCCGCACCGAGTCCTTTGGGAGATGTTAGCAGGGTACAAATAAAGTTAATAAATAAATAATAATAAATAAATGATGATGATGATGTATAGGTGTGTACAACCTTGAAAAATATACAGTAACAACATTTGTTGACGTTTAATAATTAAATACCTGCTACAAACAATTAAATGACAGCAACTAAAACAATGACATGCATAACCATGTTCTAATAACATTTTTATCTGTGAATAATAATAATAATAATAATAATAATAATAATAATATCACCAACAATAACAATTTAATTTTTATACCCCACCTCCATCTCCCCGAAGGGACTTGGGGCAGCTTACATGGGGCCAAGTCCAATCAACAGAGTTAAAACGTAATACATTAAAACGCATAACATCTATAAAAACAACATAAAACAACATTATAACAATATAAAAAATAAGCATCAAAACCAACAATCAATAGTATAATTCAAGTCTCGTTATGGTCTCATATCTGATCTCAGGACTGCTATGTAGTAAAGACTAAAGGAAGTACTATGCACACCACAAACAATTATTATTTCTCATGACCTCCTTCTCTAGTTTTACATAATAGGTATTGTTATAGTAAAGGGAATGGATCTATGCACAAGGTACAAAAGACCAAATCCTCAATTACCTTCAGAAACACAAACATTTAACTATGTTGATAACATTGTTATGTGGCAATTAAAGAATTGACCCAACAAAAGGTTTTTAATACACAATTTTCTTGTGCAATATATTCCGTGGGCTTTTAAACCCCACTGATAATCTTTTCCCACTTGCACACTTACAGACATGCACACTGACACAGAGGCCGTTCATGACACATGGAGCTCCCAGGAATCACAAAGAAACGAGCTCTGGATTTCTGCCCATGTGAGCTTCCTCCTGACACTGATTCCATTCCACACAACTCCAAGATATATGCTGTGTTTGCGATAAGGCTTTCATTTTCCTAGCATCCACGCCATACTATAGAACGGTGCAGGCCCCATATATATTCTCCTTGAACAGCATCCATTCCTGACTGTGTTTGCTGCCAACACATGGCGCAGTAAAACAAGAAATCTGTACACCTTTGATGAGCTCCGAAGTTTCAAAAAAGCAGGCAAATTGTGTTTCTCTCGTTTCTCACTTTTCATGCTTAACAGGTGCTCATTCTCTTTTGAAACTTGGGTTACTCGTTCTGGAAGAAAAATGAATAATGTGCTCTTTTGCATAACATGAAAAACAGGCTGCAGCTGTCATATTTTGCTCAATGTCTAATATCCACAGAAGTAATTAAATGAGTGTGTGTTTTCTTTTTCTTTTTTTACCACCCAGGTTAAAATAATAAGAGAATGGCACCAAGATTTGCAACTTTCACTCCACAGGAAAGTATTTTGAGTTTTTACCTAGCTATTCTCAGCAGTATTTTATCCACGCCATTGCTATCAATCACTGTAGTTCTGCACATGGCTTAAACCTTACAACATTTTCAGATGCTTGGCACCTGGCATTTAGTTTTTCAGGAAGTTTCATCAAAAGACAAGTTGTTACATTTGGGTAATAATGCACGAACAAAAGCAGGCAACACAACGGAATAAAACAGCACAGTGCAACGTAATCCATTTTTAGTTTAATCCAGTGAGAAGAGATTAATGCGAGTAAACAGTCCATCCTCACTACATCTACCAGCATCTGTTGGAAAAGCAAGGGAAAGATGACCCACATCCAGCAACTAGCGCTGCACGTTCTGATGAAATGATACAGCCACAGATACTACAAATACCTCCCATTTTGCCTACCTTTAGAGGGAAAATGGTTTTATCAGCACCAATACATTTGTTCATTGAGAAATCACTAACTTCAATAAGGAGCTTCTGGTGGCGCAGTGGGTTAAACCCTTGTGCCGGTAGACTGAAGACCAATAGGTCATGGGTTCAAATCCAGGAAGTGCTGAATCCGGGAAGAGCGGCATGGGGAACTGGAGCTGAATCCTCTGTCAGCTCCAGCTCCCCATGCAGGGACATGAGAGGGACATCCCACAAGGATGGTAAAACATCAAAAACATCTGGGCGTCCCAGGGGAACGTCCTTGCAGACAGCCAGTTCTCTCACACCAGAAGCGACCTGCAGTTTCTCAAGTGACTCCTGACACACACCCACACACACAAACTAAAGTTTCCAAAGAGACCCAGTCTCCATTCAGTCACTGTATCAAGCTATGGTTAGTACTAGTCACAGTTAGGAACCCCCGCCATGGAGATTTGATCTTCCAAATATGTAACAGACAAATTTTGGCTTCCAACTGTTTCTCAATTTACTGTATATACTCATGTATAAGTCTAGAAATTTCAGTAAAATAATTGGTTCAGAAAAGTCTTATCAAAAAAAGGAACCACCCACTCCTCTGAATGGCGAAAGGCAAGAGCTTAGTCCATTGTGGTGGTGGTGGGGTGGGGGGGCTAAAAGAAGCACGGAACCCGCTCTACTCTCTCCACCATTGCCTTTTTGAATGCCTGGGAAGGAAAATGGTGGTGATGGTGGCCAAGGGTGGCTGGCCCCCTAAGGTAGTGCTGATGTTTCCCCCTCTCTGCAGAATGACCCTCAACTTATTCAGGGGTCATATCAAAATCCATAATTCTGACCCCAATTCTCGATTTATACATGAGGATTACTTATCTATGAGTATATATGATACATCTTCCATTTTCTCAGCATTACGTTACATAGGTTTTTCTCTCATATTCCATGGTGCAGCAGTATCCTAAGGCAGAGCAAGGGTCCAAAATAATTGTTTATCAGTGGTTGGAAAATGCAAACACAATTGTAACCCACATGTTGCCCAAACTTTGCATTGCAACATGCTTCATGGGAGCCCACGGAAATCACCTAAGTTCAGATAGAATGCAAAGCTGCATTTGTAACTCACTGATAATTTGATGTGCTTGCTTCCAATTTTAATTAATCTGATGGTTTGGGTAGGTATGAAATCTAGCAATAACATCCTATTTTTAGATTGTTTCCATTTCTACAACTTGTGAAAGGGCAGATAGGTAAGATTAACAATTTATAGATTTTTGTCTATATCAGGGGACCCAAACTAAGTCCCATGGGCCAGATGTGGCCCTCCAAGCTCCTTTACCCAGCCCACATTCTAAACTTTAGACTTAAGGTTGCACTAAGCCTGAAACGACTTGAAGGCACACAACAACAATCCTAATTAACTTGATTATCTCATCAGCCAAAAGCAGGCCCATACTGGTAATACTTCCCACTGAAATACTGGTAAATTTATGTTGGTCAAAATTGTTGTTAATTTTAAATACTGTTTTGTTATATCAATTTTTTTGCATGACAAATAAGATATGTGGAGCATGCATAGGAATGTTTTCATTTTTTTTTCAAACTGTAGTTTGGCTCCTCAACAGTTTGAGGGACCATGAACTGGGCCTCTGTTTAAAAGGTTTGAGGACTCCTGGCCTATGTAATAAATATAGACCACCCCAGTCAACCAAGACCAGAGCAAACTTGTCTTCAAGATACTTAAATAAAATGGTTGTTTTCATCATTCCGTGACCATGTTGTTGTCTTCAAATCATTTCTGACTCCAAGGCAAAGCTATCAAAGGGTTTTGCTTGGGATGATGTAGTCCAAGGCAGTTCGCCATGGCCTTCCTCTGAGGCTGGAAAAGGTTATCCGGTGGGTTTTCGTGGCTGAGCAGCGATTTGAAACCTGGACTCCAGAGTCCTAGTTCATCACCCAAACCACTAGCCCACACTAGCTCTCTTTTCAGGACCATATAAAGGGCTACAAAAGAACTGGATTTGAAAAAAAAAGCTACAAGCATATCAGCTACAAAAAACAAGAAGCTAGAAGTTGAGTAGGTGTATTTAGCAATCCTACTATCCATCTGTCATAAATCTTGTTACCATACATCACCGACTGGCAGAGGGCTGTCTGCTAGACAAATAATACTACCATGAAATGTTTTGTACGACATTAATGCCTCTTTCTCTTTCTTTCTCTGTCTCTCTCCTTTGTGTGCATTTTTCATTGATGCAATGAATTCTTTGCACATAGAAATGGGAGCTTCTAATGTATATGATCAAAAAGCATGAGGACCTGCATTCATATTAGAGGAAACTGTAATCCCAAAGGAAGCTCACTGACACACACAAAAAACATATCTTCACCGAACACAAGGAAACTGGAAATTTCTAATACCACCGTGTCAAACATTCCTGGGTTGCTTTAAGAATATGTTGACTTTTCCTATCTGTCCACTTATATTTTATTAGGTATGTTAAAGACCAAGTTTACAATTAACTGAACAGACAGTGTACAAAAGGCTTTTAGAACTATACCATATGGTCGAGGGAAAGGAACAATCTGGATGATCCACGTTTCAATCTGCAGCCTTGTCCACCTCTATAACACATTATATTGCTGTAATAAAATATTAAGATAGATTAGTTTCCATATATATATATATATATATATATATATATATATATATATATATTTCAGACTTTCATATTGCCAGGCAACAAGTTTTAGATAGAAAGATTTTTTTAAAAAAAGAATAAAAAGATAAAAATCCTTAAGGCTTTGGTTACATTTGTTAGCGTATCAGATAGGAAGCACTTGCCATCTATGTACCAAGTACTTCAGCAATCTCAGAATTCCAGTTTTACATGAAGTTTATTGGCCACAGTCTAATATAACATGTAATGTATTCATGGAATACAAAAGTAAATCAGGCAACACGTTTATGGGAAAAACGTTGAATATCAGGATCATGCACTCTTTTTTAAAAATAAATTCTCTTATTGCCTATTTTTCACAGGTATGGTAAACAAAAACATAGGGAAATATTATACACCCTTTAGAAGAAGCTTTTTAGTGTTGTCGAAGGCTTTCAAGGCCAGAATCACTGGGTTGCTGTGAGTTTTCTGGGCTGTATGGCCATGTTCCGGAAGCATTCTCTCCTGACGTTTCACCCACATCTATGGCAGACATCCTCAGAGTTTGTGAAGTCTGTTGGAAACTAGGCAAGTGAGGTTTATATATCTGTGGAATGTCCAGGGTGGGAGAAAGAACTCTTGTCTGCTTGATGCAGGTGTGTATGTTACAGTTGGCAACCTTGATTTGTATTTAATGGCCTTGCAGCTTCAAAGCCAGGCTGGTTGCTACCTGGGAGAATCATTTGTTAGGAGGTATTAGCTGGCCTTGATTGTTTCATGTCTGGAATTCACCTGTTTTTTTAGCGTTGCTCTTTATTAACTGTCCTGATTTTAGAGTGTTTTAATACAGATAGCCAGATTTTGTTCATTTTGTTTAGCGTAGCCACAGAAATCCACAAGCACGTGAACAATTTCAACAGAAAAGAGGAAATCATGAAAATGAACAAAATCTGGCTACTGGTATACTCTTTCTCACCCTGTGACCCTTTCTTGCCTCCCTATCCCCATGCACATGTGAGCCAGGAGCACTTTTTAGTAGAATCATATACAGCCTGTTCTTTCTATGCATGACACTCTGTGATGAAGCACTATCAGTGCTCAACCAACAACAAAACCATGTTTGTATATGAAGCTGACTTGGAAGGGTTGTGCAAAAGGGTGAGATCTGGGGTTGGCCGTTTCATCTACTGAGGCACAATGTTTGGAGACAGTGAAGCTTGACTTCCCTAGGAATAAAGATAGCCTTCTAAAGGCCTGAAAATCTTGACAATATACCTTCCCAATGCCACGACCGCTTAATACAGTTCCTCATATTGTGGCGACCCCCAACCATAAAATTATTTTTCATTGCTACTTCATAACTGTAATTTTGCTACTGCTACAAATTGCAATGTAAATATCTGATACGCAGGATGTATTTTCATTCACTGGGCCAAATTTGGCACAAATACCCAATACAGCCAAATCTGAATACTGGTGGGGTTGGGGAGAATTGATTTTGTCATTTGGGAGATGCAGTTGCTGGGATTTATAGTTCACCTACAATCAAAGAGCATTCTGAACTCCACCAGCAATGGAATTGAACCAAACTTGGCACAAGAACTTTCTTGATCTACAGAACATACTGGAAGGGTTTGGTGGGCATAGACATTAAGTTTTGGAACTGTAGTTCACCTACTTCCAGAGAGCACTGTGGACACAAACAATGATGGATCTGGACCAAACTTGGTACGAATACTCAATATGCCCAAACGTCAACACTGGTGGAGTTTAGCTAAAATAGACCTTAACATTTGGGAGTTGTAGTTGTTGCAATTTATATTTCACCTACAATCAAAGAGAATTCTGAACCCCACCAACAGAGAATTGGGCCAAACTTCCCACATGGAACAGAAAATACTGTGTTTTCTGATGGTCTCTGGTGACCCTTCTGACACCCCCCTTGCGACCCACCTGGGGGTCCCGACCCCCAGGTTGAGAAACACCTGGGGGTGCAGAGACAGAGCTGTGAATTCTTTTTGGGCTTTCATCTGAATTTCAAAGGAACTATCAAAGATGTCATACTCTACCTGCAAAGTAGGTTCAGCAATTTAGATAGTTCATGCAAAGTTGGACTAAAACCCAGAGTTCATTAATTGTCCCTCAGACTTCATACCTTGTCGGGCAGAGATGAGCGAACCAAAACTCTGTTTTCTTGACTAGGTAGATACCATCTGAACCTAAGACTACTTGAGCATTAGATGACAATTTCCAGAATGCTTTAAATGAGGGGAAAACAATCCCACTTCAACTATGAGGCTTTCTCTTGCACCCTCCAAGGATCTTTGCACTCATTGCAAATAGCAAGTCTGCTCCAGTCAACCCCCAGGTTGCAGCTTCTTGGCAGAGTCAGCTTCAGGCTACAGCCCTAACATGCATGTGCTGCTGTACCGGTTAAAAGTGTGCCTCCCATAGCCTCTCCTAGTCACCCCAGAGAAAGTAAATAGGAACAATCAGAATTAAAAATAAGTTTGTAGATCAGAAAGAAAATAGATGTTTTAAAAATTAAAAGATCTTCTTTTTAAGATGCAAGACAGCTCAGAGACTATTCATAACTTATTTATTGTTGTAAGTTAACCAATTTCATAAAACTATAGTATGCAAACATGACAGGCCCTGGGATCTCCAACTGAAGCAAGAACCAAATCATTAACAAGTCAGGACCCCCCAAATTGTGGATAACCATTCCCACTTCAAATACATCTAACAGCAGGAACTACTTCACACTCCAGCCATCCTGGAAACTACAAAGAACATAGTCAGTCACCGAAACCGGGAGAGGAAACCCTGGAAATCACTTTGTTAATATGTGGTGATTAATTCCGAAGTGGAAATCTGAACTTTAAATATTCTCATTGGCTACCTTTCCTTTTTGTACTTTGGGGTGTGTGGCAGGGGGAGGAATCACTAGAGGTGTGATGAAGCATGCAAGTCTCTTCAGGCTAAGTGCCCTCATCAAAGCATCTTATAGGTACATTAAAAATTGAATGGGTATAAACAACTTCAGTAGGCAGAGTTTGAAAATGATATTCTACTGATCTCTGAATTTCATAAACATCAACACTTGGGAGAGTTTGCATGGGAATAAGGCAACTAATTATTGTCTATTGCTTTAGGGCACGCCTGGTGCTCTCTACAGGTATCTCTGCTGATTTTTTACATTTTTTCCTAATGTATTGCCTCTTGAAAGCTTTTGCTGTAACAACTTGCTGATCTACTCCAAAGCATTCCAAGTATACTAGAACCACTTTATATTCAGAAAGAAAGGCACAATAACTTTTGAGACTCTTTTTCGTAAAACGCAGCAGCAGTTGAGAATATAGTGCATGCTTTGCAAGTGAATAGTGAGCAAAATTATGTCTACAAGTCAAATTAATTTGTAGTGTTCATCTGAAGTGCAGCATGTATGCTTTTGTAATGAAAAAGTTGGTGTTTTGGAAACAGAAAGAAGGAGAAAAATAATACATAACTACTTATTATAGGAAATCACTGCAATCTTTAATTCTCATTAAGACTATGCTGCTCCCAACACTTAATCTTGTGATATGAAGCAGAAGCAACGATTTCTCACACATAGTATTACTGTAACTTTGGAACCTAAATGTTGTCCAGGTACTTGGAAGGAAACAAAAAATACACAAAATTTCCATGAAAGTTTCACACAAGATGAGATCAAAGAAAGATGACCAGGACACTGGAACAATCTCTTTCACATCTCGATGCAATTGCTTGATACTGGCACTTTATTGATGTGAAATCTCACAATCATTCTTCTGCACAGCCTTATTTCTTACCTGGGTTTGTTTTGCCCAGTCCATGTGCTCTATGCTTCTCCCCCACCAACCATTTGGCCATAACTGCACAGTCATGCAGTTTTGGCATTCCCATGAGACCTTCCTCCACTTCGCAATACTGGTATTACATTTAAAAGAAATTATTGCACAAACATCCCTGGAAGGCTACACATGAGTTCTCTGTCTGACTGATCTCAAGGTTAGACCTTTGCTATGGGTCATGTATTCTGTCCCATATAGCACTGTTTTCCTTTTCCCCTTTCCATTAAACACTATCAAAGCAGTTTGCAATCCTCATGTTGTCAGAATATTAACGGTAAAGAGTAACATGTTTTTATATGTGCATATGTTGTATGTTATTGTATTTTATCTTGTGTTCACTTTTATGTTTGTTTTTAGGCACTTTATGCCGTCTATAAGCCGGCCAGAGTCCCTTCGGGGGTTGGTGGCGGGATATAAGACATTGCTGTTGTTGTTGTTATCATTATTATTATTACAGTAGAGTCTTGCTTATCCAATATAAACAAGTCGGCAAAACGTTGGATAAACAAAAATGCTGGATAATAAGGAGGGATTAAGGGGAAAGCCTATTAAATGTCAAATTATGTTATGATTTTACAAATTAAGCACCAAAACATCATGTTTTACAACAAATTGACAGAAAAAATAGTTCAATACACAGTAATGTTATGTAGTAATTACTGTATTTACAAATTTAGCACCAAAACATCGCAATCTATTGAAACAGCTGTGGATCTGGGCAAGAGGCAGACTGCATTGGATAATACAGAAGGTCGGTTGAGCAACGGCTGGATAAGGGAGACTCTACTGTATTATTATTATTATTAATAATAATAATAATAATAATAATATCTCACCATGTTACAGGTAATATTTCACCATGATACAATATGGATTCTTAAGAACATAAACTAACATGCTCAGACACTTTTTAAAGTAATATTTTTGTTCCCCCAAACCCCTGAAATCTTTCCCTGTAAACCAAATTACATGACTCTGGAACTTACTTTTCTTTGCATTTACATTTGTGTTCCGTTTCCAGTCTTGGTTCCAAATATAGCATTCCAGTGTTTAGATGTTGTTTGGATTTATCTTTGTTTAAGATCATTCCCCCAAAAAGAAAAATAAA